ACACCCCGAACTGGGACAGGACCTCACAGGCAGGGGCAGGGAGGTGATGCCACCAGAGCCCCGTGCCGCTGCTGCTGGGGGAGTCGGACGTGCTCGAGGCTCTTCATTAAACCTGCTTCCTGCTGCAGGAGCCCGTGGCCCGGCAGCCCCTCTCCCCCCTCCTCTCATCCCCCTTCCCTGGCTCCCCGCATCCCTCCCCAGGCTTGGCACAGCCAGCCGAGCCGCAGCACAGCACTGCAGACCCCGCTGCTGAATCCCAACCTCCTGCGTGACTGCCAGGCATTTCCAGAGAGTCCTATTGATCCTGCGGAGCCTCCAATCCCCCGTCCCCGCTGCTAATTTAGCTGGGACAGCGCCGTCCCCTCTCCCTTTGATCCGCTCCCTTCAAACAGCCCCCACTGCCAGCAGAGTTTGTGCTCGGTGCAGAGGTGCTCTTTTTGGAACATATATTTTTAATGGGGATTTCAGACGTGACGCAGGCACGAGGGAGCAATTCTCCCGTGCCCTGGTATTTACATATTTTCCAGCGCAGGCAGGGGAAGGTTGCGCGGAGGGAGCCCGGCAAACAGGAAGGAAAGGAGCTTTGTGCTTTGTATCGCCAGGGCCCAATTACAGCCTGAAAGGCGAGGAGCCCATCCGGGTATTGCCCTCTCCAGCCAGTCCAGGCTGCAATTACAGTCCTCGCCAGGCTCAGCAGGGTCTGGGAAAAAAATAGATCTCAAGAGCTTCACAAATGATCACTAGCTGGCTCTTCGGGGCGCGGGGATTTTAGGGCACCATCTGCTCGCTGTGTTCTGCCAGCACAGATCCTAAAAACTACTGGGTTTCACCTGGCTCCTGGAAGAGAGGAGAGCGAGGGAGAGCCCCAAGGCTCCCGCTGTGCTGGGAGGGAGGGAGGGGAGGCTGGGGCTGGGGAGGTGATGCTGCAGGGCTGTGGCTGGTGCTGCTGCCAGCAGGGCTCAGGGTGGGATGTGAGAGGGGATCCCACAGAGAAAAGGGGGTGGGAATGTGGAGGGAAGCTGGGATGAGGTTTCCCATTCCCACAGGGACTGACCTGCCCACGGAGGGACGTGACTGCCAGCCTGGGGCGTGCCCAGGCTCTCTGTGCTGCTGGTGCCAGCCGGAGCTGGCAGGAGCCCTGTGAGGGTGCCTGTGTCACCTGAGGGACAGCGCCCAGCCTGGCACCCCCGGGCAGCTCACACCACAGTCAGGTCACTTCTGAAGCCCACACAAGCCATTCAGGCCACCAGATGCCATCCCCCAGCTGCTGGTAGGCTTGGCTGCCCTCAAGGTGGTGCCCACCACGGGGACAAGAGCGTGTGACAGCAGAGGGTGGTGGCATTGCTGCCTGAGGACCTGTGCTGGGAGCCAGGGAGGGCTCTCAGGGAATCTGTCACTGTGACTGGGGGGACTCCCTCTAAGCTCCAGGCCACGTGCCTTTGACCACGGTAAAATCTGATGGCAACAGCATTTTCCACTGTTCCAGGGCAGTTTCTGGGCAATGATGGGGAAAAGTAAGCTGCAGAGAGAGTAGGAAAAGGCAAAAAGCGCTACATGGAAAAATAGATGGAAATATATGAGAATCATGGTGTGATTCATGGGCTGTCCTGTGCAGGGCCAGGAGATGGACTCAGTAGTCCTTATGGGTCCCTCCCAGCTCAGGATATTCCGTGGTTCTCTGATCCTGTGTAGTGTGCTAAGACCAGCAAGCTCTGGTTTGGAGCCAAACCAGCAAACACTGAAGTGGTGCGAGTGAGCGAGCCAGGTTTGACCTGCCAGGACTAAAGTAATGTGCAAGGGGAGGGTCTGTCCCACCAAACTGAACTCCTGGAGAACCACCACGCCGCTCTCAACACGTAGGAATTGTGTTTTCTTTGAAGCTCTTTCAATCTCCAAGTCCTGCCTGGCAATTATAGCCATTTTCAGGTCTGAATTTGCTGGCCTGTCTCTAGACATATGCTGGATGATACGATATGGAGCAGTTGGGCATGGATCTCCACGCAGCAGCGCCGTCTGCTTCGAGCGCTCCCGCTGTGGCTCTCTCTGCTCCTTCAGCTCTCTGAAACATACAGATTAATATCTGGATGTACAGGAGGCTGGCTCTGCGTCTCAGCACGGGCAGGGAAGGGGTAAACCCCAATCCTGCAGAGCAGGGAGGGTGCCTGGGACAGGGTGAGCAGTTCTGTCACCACAGCCAGCTGCAGGTCACCCAGCTCTCCCATGCTTTTCCCCAAAATGTTGACCATAAACATCCCAACGTCAGTGAGGAGGACCATGACTGTTCCTGCAGTCAGGGAATGGGATGTGGCAAGGTCTGTGAGGGACATTAAACCCAACTTTATGCCTTTCTTTCCAGGGTTGTCCACACAATGAACCAGGCACACATTTCCTGCTGTCCTCCCCAGCCTTGCCTAGGATTTCTGGGCATGAGAATCATTCAGAGAAATAGTGGGGCAGACCAGAAGATGATTCTCGTTCCCATCAGTAGGTTCCAGAGTTAAAATCAAGCTGTATCACGGCAAAGATTGTCCAAGGAAAGCAAGGCTGCACCCCCAGACACGGTGGGGTGATGCCTGCAGCTCCCAGCACACTCTGCATGTGAGGGCTGGCTCTGCCAGTCCCCTGCCTCTCCCTTGGCACAGGACCTGGCTCTCTGCAGGATCCCCTCCATCAGGACATGTTGCAGCATGGCTCAAGGGCAGATTTCCCTCTTTGGAGTGCACACTGAGGGTCTGACCAGGGTGAGCACCCTTGGGAACACCCCGAAAGGCTGGGTGGGAAGAATCCTGTCAGTTTGACCTACAGTTCATCCTGGAAGTGGCTCCTGAGGTTCCCACTCAGCAGCCAGGCACTGAGGGTGGCTCTGGGTCATGAGCAGGGCCACAGCATGTCCTGGCTGGAGCCCTGCAGTTCCACTGGCCAGCAGACCACCCTGTCCCATGCCATGAGCAGCCCTGGCAGCTCCCTGGGCTCGGGGGCAGTGACACCTGGCTGAGCAGGAGGAAGAGCCATTCCAGAGCTACAGGCACAGAGATCCCATCCCACATGGGGCCCAGTCCCTGCAGCAGGAGGTTCTGAGGGCCAGTTTGAAGGCCGGATTGGAGATGTCCCTTCCTGCACCTTGTTTCCTCTTTGGAGAGCTCTTACTGCCACAGGGACAAGAGGAAGGACCCACAGTGCCATGGCCTGGCCTGGGGATGCTCCAGCAGCTGCCAGTGAGGCAGAGGTGGCCAAGCCTGACCCTCACTGTGTTTCAGCACAAGTTTGGCACCCAGTGAGGTGTCAGTCCCCAGTGGCTCCATCCCAGCTCCCAGCCAGAGCCAGCTTTACCTCCCTGTGCAGGAGGGAGACCCTGGCCGAGCGTGGTGTCCAGCCTGAGCTCTCCTGCACTTTGCCACTGCCTTCCCTGCAGTGTGTGGGGTGGGGGCTGAGGTTATCTGGCTCCTTGGTGTCTTCTGCTCCTCCTGGTTTGGCCCTGATGGTGCCACGAGGGATGGTGATGGTTTGTGCATCCCTTCTGATGAGGTCTTGCAGTCCAGGAGACCCTGCAGTGCTGAGGCTGGGGGAAACCAGGGTGAGAGCCCAGCCTTGCCTGTGACCTTCACAGGACTGCCAGCACTGTTGTTTAAGGGCTGAAGGAGGTCCCGAATGTCAGTGGGAAATGTCACAATCTCTACACCAGGACTTCTCCAAGTCCCATCTTCCAGGGAGTCCCACCTGAGTGAATCCTGGACCAGGTCTCTGTCCCACTGAAACTCCTTCCCAGCCCCAAACACCACCAGTGGCACCATTTCTGCTGCCTCAGCCCACCAGCCTGTGCTCGGGGCCACAGGAGGATGGAGTCCCCCCTGGAGCCCACCGTGCTGCCAAGCCCTGGCCCCCAGCTCCCCTGCACACTGCTGCCCCTGAGAAGCCAAAGCCACATGCCTTGCTCCCGGCTGCTGGAGAAGAGCCAGGAACCACTTCCAGACTGCGTCACCATATTCATGGCCTCTCTTGGGCTATATTTAGTTTTGTGACTGCAGGTTTTTCTGGACGTCGAGTTGCTAAAGAACTGGCACTCCCCACTCAAAGCAGAGCACATCCCCAAGGGGGGCTGAGCTGGGAGTGGGGGCTGATGGGGGGGGCTGAGATGGGAGGAGGGGGCTGAGCTGGGAGTGGGGGGCTGAGATGGGAGTGGGGGCTGAGCTGGGAGAGGGATCTGCACAAGCAGGATTGGAGCATCCCCCAGGTGAGGTTTGCCCTGCTGAGAGGAACAACCAGCACGCAGCAATTTTAGCCCTGCCCGTCTCCTGTGCAGGGAGAGGGGGCTGAGCTGGGAGGGGGAGCTGAGCTGGGAGAGGGATCTGCACAAGCAGGATTGGAGCATCCCCCAGGTGAGGTTTGCCCTGCTGAGCAGCAATTTTAGCCCTGCCCGTCTCCTGTGCAGGGAGGTGTGTGTGGAGCTGGCAGCCTGTGCAGAGCCAATTTCGTTTTGCCATGGCCAGCAGATCTGGAGAGGATGTGAACCTCAGCGCCAAAAGCTGCCTCGCAAGGAGGTCGCAGCAAACGGGGAGGGAGGAGCAGTGGCTGTGCTGCACATCAGCCACTGTGCTCCACGGGCTTTTTATGAGCCTGAGCTCAGGGCACTGACTCAACCTGCACAGCCTCCCTCGGGTCCCCTGGGTGCCCCAGTCTGGCCTGCAGCACAGCAGGGGATGCAGGAGCGCAGCTCTGGGCATCCCTCAGGTGCAGCTGGGCAGGTGCCAGACCTTGTGATTCTCCTCCTGCTTCACTCTGATCCCTGGGACCATCCTGGGATGGACCCGTGCCCAGGAGGTGCCATGGATGGGGTATGGGCTCTGTCAAACCCCAGTGCAGAACAGGGGAGCTCTGAGCAGCCTGGTCTAGTGGAGGATGTCCTTGCCCATGGCAGGGGGTGGAATGAGAAGAGCTTTAAGGTCCCTTCCAACCCCAACCATTCCAGGATTTTATTTTATGATTCTGTGAAGCCAGTGCTTCTATGCTCACCTGGATGGAAAACACCTACATTTCTCTTAAACATATTTTCAGGATTCACCAGGAGATTAATTAACTGCTTGCAAACCCCAGACATTAATTATTGATTATTAAGCCAGTGCATGGTGATCCATGGTCTTAGACATGGCACAGCCACATTCTTCCAGCCTTCAGGAACCCCAAAACTGCTTTGGAGTTCATTGTGTGAGGAGGAGGAGCAGTCCTGGAACGTTGACCTCAACATAAAGTGGCAGAATTTCTCAGGTCAGAAGGGACCTCAGGAGGTCTCCAGTTCAACTTTCTGCTCCAAGCAAGGGCAGCTGCAAGATCTCATTGTCCAGTAGGGCTTGAAAACCTCAGAGGATGGAGACAGTACAGTTTTCCTGGGAAAGCTGCTGGTGACTGGCTGCCTCCATGGAAAAAAGTGTGTCTTTATCACCTGAGCTTCTCTTAACTTACCTCATACCTGTTGTCTCTCTTCCTCTCACCACACACTGCTCTGAAGAGCCTGGCTGTCTTCTCCATCACCTCCTCACAGGTACTGCATGTTTGCTTTAGGCCCCTCTGAATCCTTCACTCCTCAAGGACAAATCTCCCACTGCTGTTCTCATCATCCTGGAAAGGGGAGGAACTACCTTCAGAAAGAAAAGAGAAAAAACAAAGAAAGAAAAAATAAAAATAAAAAGATGAAACAAGATTACAAAAAAGAAAGAGAACTACCTCTAACTCTTGTGACCCTCTTCACTCCAGGCCCACTACAAGTGACAGCAAATGAGGGGATTCTATCCCATCATACTCTGGGCTGCTCTAAGAATCAGGAACAATAAATCAACTGACTTCAGTCCAGGATGTTCCCATCTCTTTGCTGGCACCAGATAACACAGGGCTGGGAATATTCCCAGCCTGGAACACCTCTGAAGGAAAAGAAACTGCAGCCTGCAAGGCAGGGAAGCAGAGATCCTTAACAGGTAAAACAAGGGAAAAGGAGGTCCAGAGTCTCAGGTAAATCTGTTAATCCCACAGTGCTTTCATTGTCCATGCTGCTCCTGAGGAGCCAATGCCTGAATGCACAAAGGGTCTGCACAGGGAAGCAATTGCTGCCTGATCAGCCTCTTGGCCTGGCTGAAGCTTCTGCCCTGTGCTGATTTCACAGACCCTCAGCACGAGCCAAACCCAAAAATCAGTGCTGCCATGGTCAAGGTGAGCTCTCCAGGAGGTGAGCTACATCTTTTTCCAGGCTGACAGCAAGATGAAGAGGGGCTGGAGGCTCAGGAGGTAGCTCCATCCATCAGGAGCAGATCTGGTATCACCACCATCAGCCACATTCCCCTGCCTCCAGCAGTGTCCCTGCAATGTCTCCTCAACCAGCACTGACCAAGGCCAGCCCTGGTCACAGAGGCAGCAGCTCCAGCTGTGGACAGGCAGGCTGGAGACTGGAGGTGAGCAGGGGTGTAGAAGGTGTGATGGAAACAGGAGGTTAAGAGCATGTGGAGGGCAGGTGGAGTGGGGAGGAACAGGACATAGCCAGAGGTGACCAGGCTAGAGTGACCACGAGCTTTGTGCCTGCTGGACAGGACCAGCTCCCACAACAGAAAGCCACTGGGAGCAGACACAAAGGTGAGAACAATCCAGGAAACCCTTGGAAGCCACCAGGAGACCTAAAGAGGGTCAGGAGATTGTAGGTCTCATCCCGAGCTACTCATTAGCCACAAGGACTCCGGCCTTTCAACCAGGCTAATTACTGATTGCTCCAAGGATAACACTTCCCACAGCTGCTAAACTTGCTGACACTGGGCCCTGGATGTCTTCTATTCTGGGAAGGGGGAGTGGAGTCTCCTAGTGTGAACTTGTGGAGCTGGGCAAAGCCACACTGGAGCAGAGATAAAGTCAAGGACAGCTGCAGCTGCTTGGCAATCGCTCAAAATGAGCCACGAGTCACTGACTTGGCTATTCTGGGACGAGCTGAAGAGCCAGAGCTGGGGAGAACGAATTCATGGCCTGCTCACACAGAAATGCACTGCAGCAAGCCTGGACCTGACCAGTGCCCCAGCACATTTGTCAGGGACCTGATGGGAGGCTGCAAAGCTCTGTCCCTGGTCACCAGCAAGGAGCTGTGGCTGCAGATCTGCCTTGGGACTGATCTACCAGAGCTCACAGGTCTCCAGCAGGGGAGCACCACGCAGCTCCCCAAAAGTCACAGAGAGAAATCGCTGCTTTGAGAACTTTTCAACCCTTCAGGTTGCCTGAAATTGGGTCAAAGCCTTTGCCCAGGGCTGCCATGCCTGAGAATAACTGCTGCTAAAGCTTCTAGAGAACCTAGCAGAGGTTTCCCAAGTCAGAATTTACTGGGGAATGGGGTGGATGAAGCCTGTGATATTCCCTGAATCTGCAACCAGTGACCAGAGTAATCCTCTCAAATCTTTGCCGAAGGCAAGGAACCTGAATTGGAACCTGAAGTGTTGATGTGCTGTATTTCCCAGCTTTGGGTGACAGCACTGGGCTGGGAGGCTCTGATGTGGCCCAGCAAAGGTTTGTTCCCTGCCTCCAGTACTGCCAGCATTGCTGGGACTGACCTGACCCTCCACACAGCCCAGTGCAGGTCACCTCCAGAGCTGCAAGGCTCAGCTAGACAATTAAGCTCGTTGGGAGCTCACCCAAAGGACACCGGGCCTTTTGAGGTCACTCACTGCATATGCTGGAAAGCAGATATGATCTCATTAGGCAAATATTTATGATCAATATTGTCCACACTCTGGCAGTGAGCAGCATCACTTGGAGCTAGAAGCTCTCCAGGGATGGATGTGGGTTCACAGAAGAGCCTGGGCTGAGCGTGAACCTCTGCTCACCTGGCTTGAAAACACCTACATTTCCCCTAAACATTTTTTTTCCACGATTCACCAGGAGATTAATTAGCTGCTTGGAAACCCCAGACATTAATTATTGATTATGCAAAAGATTTTGTTCATCACAGTTGCTGAGCTTGTCAGTGCTGAGGACATCAGGATGGAGAGGAAGTCTGGATGGGCCCTGGATTTGCCAGCAGTTTCCCATGGTGGGGCCTCTCCACAAGGTAGAACAGCTCCAAAACAGGAGCCAAGCGTGGCAGCGAGAGCCCAGCTCAAACCCAGCTGCCCTGAGGGCAGGGAACTGAGGCACAGGGCAGCATGACCCGTTCAGGGAGCAGACACGGCACCCCTGCACCCTGGGGCGCCTGAGCCCAGCTTGGCAGATATCCAGCATCGCCTCCCCGGCAGGGGCACGGCGGCTCCCCGGGCACAGCGCGGTGCCAGCAGCCCTCAGCAGCCCTCAGCAGCCCCTCAGCAGCCCTCAGCAGCCCTCAGCAGCCCCTCCTGGCCCCGGCTCCCCGGGCAGAAGGAGCCGCAGCCGCGGCGAGCGCGGGTGGCAGTGATAAAGCCCCTGCAACGCCCGGCAATTAATCTTGCGGAGCGGTGAGTCAGAGTCACCCGGAGCTGCCTCCCCTCACCCAGAGCCAGCCACCGCCGTCTCCAGAAGCTCTCGGCTCCAGGGACCTGCAGATGCCACCTGGCTGGGGAGAGGGATTTTTTTATTTTTGTGCTGTGCCATCACTGGATGCCCTCCGGACCTCCAGGGAAACAAAACCCACCGACAGCCGCATGTGCCCGCCTGTCTCTGCGGAGGAGCGGGGTGCTTTACTCCAGCTTCTCTGGCCATCAGGAAGGCGAGAGGCAGATGCCATCCTCATGATAAAGCCCATATAAAAAAGGTGTCAAAAGCCAGAGGGGAGGAGGAGGCAGGAAGGACTTAAATAAAGCCCCCGGGAAGGAACGGGTATATTTAACTCCCACCAAGAAAATGTCCCCGCACATTTCTCCCCTGTCCCCACCCCCCAAATCTGCGGTGCTCCCCAAACTTTCCCAAGCTTTCCCGGGGAAAAGCCTCTTCCCGCCTTGCCCTAGGCATGAATGCAGTTTGCAGTTTTAACAGCAGATGTCTCTCCTATTATGATTTATAAAAATGCTTAAAATAAATAATGCAAACATATTTACAGGAATGAATTCCTGCTCCTGAGCGCGTTTGTCACTCGGAGGCTCCCGAGCAGGAGCGCCTCGCCGCCTGAGTGCCTCCCGCACAGCCTCCGCTGCCCCCCCGCCGGCGCTGCGGCGGCTGCCAGCAGCCCAGGGCAGGGTGGCCAAATCCCAAATCCCCCCCATCCCCTCCCCAAACCCCGGGTCTGGGCCCACACCGGCGTTTCAATACAAATGTTGTATAATCAACGTGTTAAATATTTAAAATGGTCGTGCAGGAGAGCTGCCCGGCGGTGCCTGATTTCACACATCCTGACAATTTCACGGACCTCTGGGCTTACGTTTCTTGGCAAATAATGAAAGGCGGTGGGAGCCCCCTTCCTCGAAGGGCGCGCTGGGGAGGTTTGCCCTGGCCGCAACTCCTCCAAACGCGATGCGACTCGCGCAGCGCCGCTCCCACCTCCGCGCCCAGCCATGTCCAATGCTTTTAAGCGTGACCTTCGCGCGGGGCGGATGCAGCCGTCACGCCGCCGAGGTGACTCAAAGGCAGAGCGGGGGGCCGGGGAGGGGGGCACGGCCGGGGGCAGCTGCCTTCAGAGCCGGCGCTTCCAATGGAGCAACTTTTTTTTTCCATGGCCGCTCCCGCAGCCGCGCTCTTTCCGGCGCGGTGCACACAAAGAGCCGGCGTACCTGCGGTGATGCGAGTGGCCCAATTACCGCTCCGCACCCGGCCTGCCCGTTTCCATAGCTTCACAGCACAGCGCTTCCCTCTCCCGAGGCCATCGGAGCAGGACCCGGCATCTTATCAGCGATCATCCTGCCACGCAGCGCTCCTCCGGGCCCTACCTGCCGACGGCCAGTCTCGCTGGCAACGCAGGATAATATCTTTTCCCACCAGAGCCGGGCGATTATTTCTTCCCGCTGTAATTTTGTCTTGCTTCCAAAGCCGCTTGCATAACCGGTGCCGAGGAAGCAGAGCACAAAGCAGGGCAGCTACAGGAGCTCCCGAGCAGGGGATGGGGTGAGAGGCTGTCCCGACCCTGAGGACACCCCGAGAGGCTCTGGTGCTTCAGTCCTGCCGAAGGAAGGGTGACAGGAGGCATCAAAAAGGACTAATGTGTCTCCCTGGCCAAACCCCACTGGCAAGCTGTGAGGCTGAGCCGAGAGGATAGGGAGGTGGGGGGCAGAATTTTCTCCCCACTGAGCCAGATCCTGCCTGGGTGAGAGGTCCATGGGAGCCCAGAACCACAGCCTCTCAAAAAAGGCACAGAATTTGGGCTGGAAAGCCTGCTCCAGGAGGAGTGGGGGTGTTTGTGGCCTTCTGAAGGGGTGACTTGCTCCAGCTCCTTGCCTTCTTGCAGGTTGCCTTGGCAAGGAGCAGAAGCACGGGGCGTGTAGAGGCATGAGGTGTCTCTGCTGCAGCCTTTGTCATGGAGGAGAGACACATTCCAGGTAGCACAAGCAGGAAAACCGTGAACTGAATACCCTGACATCCTCCAAGTGAGGATCTTGTGTCCTTCCCTGCCACAGCCAGCGCTGCACATCCCATCCACCCCATCCTCCACATCCCAGCTCCAGAGCTGGATCCGTGGGCAAAGCCAGGAGAGAGAGCTGCCAGCCTGGTCAGAGGGCCGTGGCCATGCCAGCCATCACACCCTGCCCAGCCCAGCAGGACAGCAGCAGCACACACAACAAAGGCTGCTCAGCACTCTGCATCCTCTGGGTGTTGGTGTAGGAAGGGCAGATCCCCACTTGGATCCATCACAACTTCCCGAGCAGGCTGCAGTTGTTAACACTAACAGCTCATCACCAAAACCTCTGATTTCAGAGGGGCTCTAATTATTTCTCTCTGGTGACCAGCAGTAGGACCTGGGGGAGTGGCTGGAGCTGTGTCAGGGGACACTTAGGTTGGATATTTGGAAAAGGTTCTTGTCCCAAAGGGTGCTGAGGCACTGAACAGGTTTCTCAAGGAAGTGGTCACAGCCACAAGGCTGACAGAGTTTGTGATGTGCTTGGTCAATGCTCTCAGACAAACGTTGGGATTGTTGGGATATGCTGTGCAGGGCCAGGAGCTGGACACAATGACTCTTATGGATTCCTTCCAGGTCAGGATATTCCATGATTCTATGATTTGGGAATTTGAGCTCCACCTGAAAGGACAAGGAGCATCTGTTACCTTGGGAAGAGCAGTTTTTTTGGATTTCTCTGGGATTAGAGGAACTCTGTGACTTTTCACTTGCCATCTAGTAAAGTAATTTATATCAGTGGATAAAACCAAGAGCCTCCTGCTGTTCAAAGCAACACTTTTTTTGTTTCAGAAAGAGCATCTAGAGCAGTTCATTTTGGGTTGACCCAAAGTTATGTCTTTCCCTTGGGTTTTTGATTTAACAGCCCAAACAATACAGCCCCACTCATGCTCCCAGCCCAGGGACAGTTTTTGCCACACATCAAGTGCCTGCTTGAAATTTTCCATGCTTTGTGGCTGAGTCAGACTACATTTTTCTCTCCAAAATTTAAGCAAAAACTCATTTCTGAGAAGAGAGCTTTGCCCATCAAGCAGGACCATGAAGCTTTCCCACAGCCTTGCCAGGAATCAGGAATGAGATGGCGGTGCTGGGCCTTGCTCCATTTCCCAAGGAGCTGCACATGCATTTGGAGGAATTATCAGCCTCTGGGAATGGTTGTTTGCAGAGTAGCTTGCAGCCTGGAAATGCCACAGAATTTGCTCAGCCTCTGGAAAACTGGGATATTCCAGGGAGCAGAGGGCAGCCACGAGGATGGACAGGGTGGAGCATCACTGTGCCAGCAGCTGGTGCCCAGGGAAAGGGCACAGCCAGGGCCTGCAGGGATGAGACGCTCCCAGCCCTGGTGATGTGACTCAAGGACTTTGCAAGATGGAGGTGGAATGTTTGTGTTTCTTCTTCTTTCTGGATTTTTTTTCTTTTTCTTTTTTTTTTCTTTTTTTTTCACATAATCTCTCTCTATGAGGTTTGAAAGCTGCACCTGCAGGACAGCTCAGACTCTGGTGTGAACTCACCTGCCTCACACCTCGCCCGTGCTGGTCCAGCCTCCTGGATCCCACCTGGGGGCAAAGAGAGGTGATGATGCCACGGATGCTGCAGACAGAGAGGCTTCCTCCAGGAGCTCACACCATCAGAAGGGTTTCATTTCCCAGCAGAGCTCCAGAGGCAGCTGGAGAGGGAGGCAGGGGGCACCCAGTGAAAGCAAGCAATGCCACTGGGGCCAAAGAAATCCACAGGACCCTGAAGAAGGAGCAGGACAAGGCTGACAGACTCAGGAGTGCTCGTGTCCCACCACAGCTGTGCTTTCTGAGCCAGATTCCCAAGCTGTCCCACATGCCTTGGGTGGCACCAGAAGCACCTGGGCACCGGGCAGTGTGCCAGCCCTGTGCCTGCCCTTCAGGAGGGCTGCAGAGGGAAAGCCCCAGGGCAGCTCCCCAGCTTCCTGCAGCTGCTGCTGGCTGAGAACTGTCTGTGCTGGGCAGCAAAGGCACGTCCACCCTGCCTGTGCCCACAGCACTGCCTCACCCAGACGGGACAGGCTGTGACCTGATTGTGGGAGGAACAAAAAGGCTCCCAGGCAGCAAATGCAGCAGCCCAGGTTGTGCTGGGTGTCAGCTCAGCCCTGCTTGGCACGGACATGACTCAGGACAACCAGCACACTCCTCTGAGACAGCTGCAGCAGCAGAGACATGGCAAGTGAGGTCCATTTCCCTCTTTTCCCTGCTGTCCTGGAGCTCTGACACTGCCAAGAAAAGCAAAGATGCCCAAAAACTGTGACTAGAATATGAATGTGATGTTCAGGCTGTGGCAGTGGCTGTAACCCAGCTTGAACTCCCCAGCCATCCTGAGCTGCAGGCAGCAGGGATGAGGCCAGCCCAGCTGAAAAACCCTCCCTCCAGCCCCAGCCCTCCTGTCCCAGCCTGCCAAAAGCACCCCTTTGCTTGCCCACAGAGCTCTCCTGCCTGCCTGTGCCACAGCCCGCTGTCCTTGGCATCCCCAGGGCACAGCAGAGCTTGTGGCAGTGTCTGAGCAGATGCTGAAGGAGAGGGAGTAACCCACATGTGGTCATGTCTGGGAAAGGTCCAGGCCACTGGGTTTGGTCGTGATGCAGAGCAGAGTGAGGGATGTGGACGTGAGAAATCCACCAGCTCTGAGCACAGGGGGCTGCACCCGCAGACAGTGAGGGGGTGCCAGGGCTGGACACCCCTGCCTGAGGGCTGTGGTCGGTGGGGCCCCGCCAGCCTCCAGCTGTTTGGCTCTGAAAAGGGCCAGAAACCTCAGGAAAGGCTTCTGCACAGTATATCCAGTGGAGCAGACTGCCTGGCCCTCCCTTTCCATGGGCAGAACTCCTCCACACTCAGCCAGCTCCGGCCCCACAGAGCCCAGCTGAAGAGCTGCTGTTTTTCCACCCTCAACACAGCAGAGCAGAGGTTTGGGATGAGGCAGAAGGGCCACACTGGACTGACAACATCCATGGAGCAAGACTGAGCTCCCAGGATGCAGCTCCCGTGTGAGCCGTGCCTTGCTGCAGGGACTGTAGCTGTTCCAGTCATGGTTTGGGGGCAGCTTGCCCCACTTTGGAGATGGCATGTCCATGGCTCGAAGGATGCTCCAAGGTCCTGTGGGCAGCAGAGGCTTTGCTGTTCCTGGGCTGGCAGAACAGCCTGAGCAGGGCTTTGCTCTCCAGCCTGGGCAAGCCAGCAGCTGGGAGGGAAAGAGGGAAAGGAGAAAGAAAGGCTGCGGCAGATCTGCTCAACCGGGGCTGTGGCAGCAGCGGGATCTGTGTTAAGAGCTGGCTTCCCCAAGTTTAGGAGGCTGAGAGATGCATGGAATAAATTACTTGTGACACTGACTCCCACACTTGCAGACTCACGCGGGGTTTAGCACCAGACTCCCGGGCAAGGCAGCGCCGGTTATTGAGGTCAGGGAAGTCGGGTGGCTAAATCCCATCTGGGGCTGAGGCACAGGGCTGGGCCAGCCTGGGAGGCAGCCTGGTGCTCCGGGGGGCTGTGCCCCCTGGCACCACTGCCCAGCACCCAGGGCAGCCCGGGAGTGCTCCCGTCACAGCCTGGGGGGCAAATAAAGGAATTACCCTTTATTGCATGGAGAGGAGAGGAGAGGAGAGGAGAGGAGAGGAGAGATCTTGGTCTGATCCAGGAACAGCCTGGTTTGTTTTGCTGCTGGTTTCTGAGTGGTTTCACTTATCTCTTTCCTCCTCCACTACCTGGGGTTTCAAATGCTCTAGGGAGATGTCTCCATTAACCACAGTTTTCTTTGGCAGTTATATTTCATTATAGTCTCTCTTCCCACTAATCTTTCCCAGCTTTTGTTGTTGTTATTTTTATTATGATGATTTTCACAAACCCTTTGTTTCCAGCCATACTTAACCTGGCCGTGTCCCTTTAAATACCACAGCCTGGGCAGAATAGGGGATCAGTCCTTTGACAGGAGCTAAAGTCCTGTTTGATCTGGATTAGATGCTGATTTTGCTTACCAGACTAAAGACCGAGGGGGACCACGCAGAGCCTGTGTTTGCACAAACCTGCCTGGTCGCATTCCTCTTCCTGCCGTGTCCAGCCAGGGGTGAGCGCGGGGCTGAGCACACAGCGTGAAACCCAGGCGGATAAGCGGTCACTTTGTCTGGAGACGGAAGAAAATGGAGCTGTGGGGGCAGAGGTGGCGGCTCTGCACCATGCTGGGGGTGCCCCGAGGTGCAGAGTGTGCCCAGGGTGGGAGCAGGCCAGCACCATCACTGTGGGCATCCTGCAGCCCTTGGCACTGCTCGCTC